ATCCTAATCCTGTAGTTTTTGTATAAAACCGTGACAATCACGTAGTGCTAGTATATATTGTTCAAAACCAAACCAAGCATTGCATTTCATCATTTATTTTCTTTTGTGCAAAGTGCAATGTCCAGGAATAATTCTTTTGAAATTTTGACAACTGTAGATGCGTAAAATTCAAGCATTGGGATTTTTTCAAGAAAAAAAATTAGAAAAATATTTTGCTCCCAAATTTCAATTTCAAATATTTTGCTCCCAAATTTGAACAGGAAAGAGGCAGCCATCGTCGTTATGTATCTTTTAAGTATTTACTTCTGATAAAATTTCTTTATCTGGTAAGTTTCTGAATCATGAGTATTTTATTAATTTGCATAAAATTCAATTAAATAAAAAGTTAACAAAAATAAATAGACTTACCAAAATCTTTTTCATAACGTTTATAAAATATTTTTCTTTTATAAACAAAAAAAGTTAATAAAAAAGGCAGTGAGTTTTTGGTGATTTGGTTTCATTTCATTTTAAATAAAAACCAAAATCGTTGTAACGAGACAAGTTTTGAATAGAGGAGGGAGTGGGGGGGGGGGTCCACCACAACTCTTTTATCATAATGTATTGTATACCCCCTGCCCCATGATCATGAATAATCAAATATATTCTGCCCCGCCCTCTAATCTGCCACACCCCTTCATTATCATACAGACAGGATAGATACCATAGACAGGAGATGATATAAAAGTTTTCCTAATTAACCTAAATTAACCAAATTTAAGAAGAAAAAAAGAAACATTTCTAATTAAAGAAGGTGTCAGACCTTTCTCTCTGATATCTAGAAAGATGAAAATTTCCCTGTATAATAATTAAAAGACTGCAGTATGGTTTTGGTGAATCATATAGCGCAGGACTAAGCCTAGGGGTGTCAGAGTTGAGGAGCTTAATAAACAAACCAACTAACCTATGAACCAATTAACCTATAAACCAACTAACCAATGAACCAATTAACCAATGAACCAACTAACCAANAACAATTAACACATGAAAACCAATGAACAAATTAACCAATGAACCAACTAACCAATAAACCAATTAACCAATGAACCATCTAACCAATGAACCAACTAACCAATGAACCAACTAACCAATGAACCAACTAACTAATGAACCAATTAACCAATAAACCAATTAACCAATAAACCAATTAACCAATGAACCAACTAATCAATTAACCAACTAACCAATGAACCAATTAACCAATGAACCAACTAACCAATGAACCAACTAACCAATGAACCAATTAACCAATGAACCAACTAACCAATGAACCAAATAACCAATGAACCAATTAACCACTGAACCAACTAATCAATTGACCAACTTACCAATGAACCAACTAACCAATGAACCAACTAACCAATAAATCAACTAACCAATGAACCAACAACCAATAAATCAACTAACCAATGAACAAGCTAGCCAATTAACCAACTAACCAATCTCCATGTATCGACGCCCCGCCTAAGTTTCTACAGTCCATATAAACCTAATTTTTTATAAAACGTTTTGTTTTGAATGATTGCAAATAATGCATGCAGTCCTTCAATTATTAATATACCAGGGAAAGTTCTGGAGACACCTTCTTTGAACTTTTCTGTGGGAGGAAACTTAACTGATAAGCCCAAAACAAAAGTAGTTAATTTTATGTTAAAATGCGTTCTTTAAAAATACCTGTAATTTACACATTTTATTTTACCAAGTTTAAGATGTAAAAAGAAATTTTAAAAAGCAAACCACGCAAACTATCCTAAGTTTGATATGTCCTGATTTCACTAAAATGCATCGTATATCGTAACGAAACTTCCATTTCTTATTTTATAAAGAAAACGAATTTTTTTCAATTATCAATATTTAAAAGAAACAAGATTAAAATTTGTGCAACCACTTGTCTCAAATTCATTCTTTTTGGGGAAACCTGCATTGAAAAATAAACATTTATCGGGTTCGAAAGTCAAGGATCCCTGACAACTTGAAACCCAGACATGTAAATCAGTGTGCGGAGGTTTTCAATTATAGATGCTTGTTTCGTATACTGCAGTTTGTTGTATCTTAAAAGATGGGCGTCGGGTTTTTTTCTTCGTTTTTTAACATTTATATTTTTTAAAGTTTTTTTTTACGAAGAATCGGAGATGCTTAATATGTTTCAAATTTGTCTTCTCTAATAGTTGGCTGAGACTTCAGAGAAGACTGTACAGAGAAGACTTTTTATTTAGATTCTTCGAACCCTGCAGAGTGCAGATGCAGTGATAAACACTTGTTTCTAGCTTTGCTAAATCATTGATATACCTTTATAAGACTTGATTAGTTTAGGTCGTCATTTCAGTCTCATCCTTTGATGGCAACCCTGTATCTTATGCTAAAGTAAAATTTTGCATAAAGTATTAAAAGCAAATTGAAATAAAGCAGTCAATTCTATAAAACCTCTCAGTTTCTGAACCTTTATAAAAGTGAAAAAAAAACTAGAATGTATATCTGTATATTCTAGATATTCCCATCCCTATATACACTGTATATATCTGTATATTCTAGATACTCCCATCCTTATATACACTGTATATATCTGCATATTCTAGATATTCCTCGTGAAGACGCTATTTTAAACAGCTTCGTGACCTATCCTTTCAACTGTATACATATATGTATATTGGATACACTGGGACGGGTTCAGGGTGGCTTAAAACATACCTCCCCCCCCCCCTCCTACACTTCCTTATTTAAATTCTTGGCCCTGTCCTCATCCCGAATAGAAAAAAGAACAAAACAATTAAATTATATTAAAACTATTTCTAAAATATAAAAACAAATAATTCTAGGATTTATACTCATGCAACTTTTAAAGAAAATATCGAAAATGTATTCAAAATCAGGGGATGAAATAAAAAACTTAAAATTATTCTTCATAAAAATTATTATTATAATGTTTGGTGAATGGTTTAAAATGTTTTCTTCCATAATTTGTTAAGTTGTTTGATACGAAAGATAATAATAAAAAATATTGTATGGGTGTCATCTCAAAGTAAAACTAATTTCAACGTAAAATATATTTGAGTAAAAGATTTGGTTAACAAAAAGTCTTAAATATACAATACAGCATATTGAAGAAGACATTCAAAACTATTCACCAATTGTCATGTTTCGTGGGACACCCTGTACTACCCACCGACGATTTATAATTCGTCACTTAATTCCTGTGTTTATAATGGGGAATTTATTTGTGAATAAGAAAAAATATATCAAATGTGTTCTTAATAACCGAAAATATTTTTTGTTTGTTTGTTAGTATTTCATCGATAGTTAATTGATTTAATATGTCGATATATAATAGTTAATTGACTTAATATATCGATATATAAATGATAGTTAATTGATTTAATATATCGATACATAAATAATAGTTAATTGATTTAATATATCGATACATAAATAATAGTTAATTGATTTAATATATCGATATATAAATAATAGTTAATTGATTTAATATATCCATATATAAATGATAGTTAATTGATTTAATATATCGATATATAAATAATAGTTAAAATTGATTTAATATATCGATATTTAATAGTTTAATAATATAATAGCATAGCATGAAACTAAACTTTCTCTAAAGTATTCAACCCACTCAACTTAGACATTGTAAACCCTATTAAGAACATTCGTTCTAACGAGTTCCTCAGTAAAATTAGAAAAAATCCGTCTGCAAGGTGTTGCTAAGTTATGATCGGACAAACAGAGACAACTACTTAATATATATAGATACTGCATGAATTGCACAGTGTATGACGTACAATTTACACGTACAGTATGTACATTGTACATTATACCCTTAAGGGACCGGTAAATAAGTCACGATAAACTTAATTCATTAATAAATGGTTTAACCATAAACAGCTCAGCTTACCAGGGATATATATTCTCTATGTTATAAAATAAATCTTGAAGTTAACGATAAATAACAATTTTTAGTCTTTAAATAATTAAAATTATGTGAGTAATATAGTTCCCTGTAAGGATTGTTTGATCTATAACTTGATAGTTGTTCAAGGATTTAGGGGTCTCACATCTACCATTCGAACAGGCAAGGTTGGGGGGACAGAAACTTACACACCAGTTTTATACAACTACGGCGGCATCTGTATTAACAGGGAGAGGTTTTTAAAAGAAGGATGATTTATCTTAATATTCTAATTTGTGGTTTCTCTACAGAAGTGACTTGCGTATTTCTTCTACAGGGAATCATACAGAAATTATTAAAAATAAACACTTTTCAAGCTAAAAACAACAACAATGTCCTCCACATTTTTTATTAAATCAACATTTCAAGGGTACCATTGTGAATCAGGCATTGTCATCTGTGCATTGGGGTTACATGTTTTTACGTTTACAGTTCCTTTAAGCGTTTAAAAAATATCAACTTTATAAAATCAGCTTTAATGTTAATTCTACTCCATTTCTTTATTTTTTATTTTTCATTTTTATTAAAAATTTCTTCTTGTAATTCGTTGCCACAAAAATTGAGTTATAGAAAATTTAATAAATATTTTGTTTAAAATTTTCAAATAATTAGAAATTTACTAAAGATATGATATTATTATAGATACATTGCAAACTAGATGAAGAGCAAGGCGTTGCCCGTGGCAAAATAAAATTTTGAAAAAAAAATTTGTGAGAAAAAAAGTTTTTGATTTTTTTTAGCCAATAAGACTCCTGGCCACCCATGAATGTCCACAAAAAAATCATCCCAATCGGTCCAGCCGTTTATATAGATAATGATAATTGATAATGATATAGATACTGAGACTTGTGGAGCAAACTTTTTTTGTCAAACTGATACTAGTCAGACTTGTTATTTCAACTATCATGGACGAGTTTTCAATCCACTTAATTCCTTATTCAATATCTACATCTTTTCTTGAATAATACAAACAGTATATTGGATGATGATTTTTCTCTCAAAACCAAAAGATAACTCTTTATTTAGTGACTTAGATATAAGTATGTGAAAATATACATACATGCATATTATTAAAAATTCTTCAAAATGAATGCAAATTAAATTTTTGTTTGTTTAGTAAACATTAATGGCTTTATAAATTGATTACAAGCATATTCCCTTTATGTGGATATATATAATGTACTGATACAGTACACAGGAAGGATTTATGCTCTGGCATAAATCATTGTACATTTAGTAAAGGGCTTTCCTACAACTTCTTGTTCAACATGACCCAGTTCCCTCCCTGCCACCCACTTGTAGGTCATGATGTTGGATCCAATTTTAACCGTACCAATCATTCCATCCCTGGTAAAATTGTACAACTCACACATATTCATTCCTCCCACTTGAAATGAACTCTCCTCCCCGGGCTTGGTGTGCTTCGGCTCCATTGGAAAAACTTTGGAAGTTGTAGAATCCAAATAGACCCCTTTACCAACATGATGAAAGCTGAAAGAACTACGCTCGTCAACAAGACCCTGGACCATGGATTCGTCAAGACCGCAACCACGCAGGAAATTGTCATAATTTGAATGTGTCACAAGCTTCCAGGTTCCTTCTACATCTCCACATCGCTTGTATGTAATACTACACTTTACTCCATGGGAAGCGCTCTCCACACTCCAGACAAATTGTTCAGAGGTGGCAGACCCTTTCCAAACAGACATATTGCCATTCTTTTCCTTGCTAGTACAGATCAACTCTGCAGGGGAGTTGCTTGTGAAAAGATGGGTGGCAGGGAATCCCATGTAATCATCTTGAAACTCAACACCGAGCTGAAAGCTGACTTTCTGTTCTTTTCCATTTCCTAGATAATCGATCATTTCGTACATTCCGTTCTTCTCAGTTACTTTCAATGCTGCATAAGACATCATGGTTTCTGCCTCAGCTTTGCTAATCTTAGCATCAGCAACCATAAACTTGTCAGCATCTACATGGCTTTCCATAACAAAGAACCCACAGAAAGAGACCTTAACTCTCTCCCAAACACTGGTGGAAATGTATCCATCTCGGGAAGATGTAATCTTGTTAGACATACCAAAGCTTGACAAAGTTGACTCATGGGTGTACACTACATCTGGGTAAGTTATCTTACTTACAAACACATTTCCAGTCTTAGTAGTAATGCTTTTTCCACCTCCAAGTTCTGCAGGTAAAACAGTTTCCTTCCCAAACTCCTCCTCCAGAGAGTAATCAAGTTCTGGTTTCTTGCTGAACTTAACACATGCTCTGTATCCATTATCAGTTTCAGACATAATTACGCTGATACAGTTGTCAGTAGACATCAGGGCAGCAAGATCATCTTCAGAGAGTGCATTGTTGAAGAAGGCTTGAAACTCTCCTTTAAGATTGTCACAGCTGTAAAACCTATAACAAAGTTAGTTAAAGTTATTTTAGCGAAAGATTCAAATAGAAAAGTAGACAAGGCTCTGAGCAATGAATCAGTTCAGATTAAAGTGTACAAAAAGTATTCTTACTTGAAAGATCCAGATAGAGACATGCTTGTTGTTTGTTCAACGCTCAGAGTTAAACTCAAAAATTTAGTCTGATTCTGAACTCTTTATAACAGGGTCGAACAATCCTTTCTAGGAGGAAGTTTGTGCACTGTGTTTTTATGCAAGTAATTGTGAACATTTTCAATTGTACGCATAATTTTGTACTCAACACTGTGTGTACAATAACCTCAGTGAATTTGTGCAAAATCAGCATGGATTTTTGATTTGAAAAACAAATTGTTAAAACTAACAAATTGTTAGATTTAAGCTTTTGAAAACGAAAAACGAAAGTACAAAACTATATTTTTGAAAAAAAAACGATTGATTTTGTTTAAATTTTATTCAAACATATTTTCTCATTAAAAGCGAGGTTTGCAGATTAAAATTTTAATTTTTCATTAAAATATCCTATATACGTCGTTTTTTTTTCAAAAGGATCAATCAAAACTATCGTTTTCATTACTAAACTATTGGATAACGAACTTAACGTTTTCAAAAATGTCAAAACTGATATATTGCATTTTTAAGCCCGGAGAACATTTTGAAAATAAAAACACAAACCTGTTTTTTTTATAGGCCTTAATGGTAGATTATTTATGACTAGCGTCCTTAGGAATACAACTTAACCTAGAAACTAAGTTTTCCGTGTAAAAGTCAGTTTAAAACTTTAAACCATGATAAGGACATATAAGTTGAGGCAAACCGGGCAAGGGGTTTATGATCAAACAGACAAAAACAGACAAAAACAGAGGCTACTTTTAATATATAGATAACAATTATTCTATAATTGGTGCACTTAAACCTCTGTCATTTTTAAAAATTTTGAAATTCATTGGAAACATGATTAATAAATCCATTAAATACTTTCTCTGTCATGTTTTAGCCTGTGTGATCTTGTAAAACTGTTTCCCCCTGAGGTTTAAACAAATTACTGTCAATTACTGTAGACAGACAACCCATAATTCAAACAAGAGTCATTATTGTTGCTAACTATTCAATTCTGTTATTTACTGACTATACAATCTTTATGTTTTTATCTTTATGTTATGAATTTAAATACGATTGGAGAAAAAAAGTTTGGAAAAACATTGATATTTACCCTTGTATCTTCGGATTTAATGATTTTTAAACAGTAAAATTCTTTGATTTTTCAGAGGCAGCACACAAATCTGTCAGAGATTGAAAATACATAATTTATGCGGAAATACTTTATTACTCTCATACAATATATATATGGTTGATTTAAAGAAAAGTAAACATAAAAACATTGTATTTAGCTGTTTTTCCAATTTTTATCAATATAATTCTCATATTTGTTCTATATTTTTCAGATAATGTGTCAACTTCTACCGAGTTGGAGATGTGCCTTGCAATAAGTATAAATGGGGTAGCTTGAGTACATTCTAACTTGTACTACAGTACACATCTTAACTTGTACACATCATGATAGAAAACCTCTTTACAGAGCATTTAAGGATGATCGATGTACAATATATGCAAATCTGTATAGTGTTCAGTGACAACCATTCAAAAATATAGTCTAGTGCGGTGTACAGTGTACAGTGGACAAATAAAAATGGCGATTAAGAACGTTGATGTACAGCAAGTACAACAGCTGGCCGAGAAATAAACAAATTTTACAGTTTGTTTACTCAACACTGAATCAGATATGAGCTCTCATTATGGTTCAGAGAGCCTCCCCTCCCCCCCCCCCCTCTCTACCCCCTCCTGCTCCGCCCCCTCCCTCCACCCCTCCAAGCATTGATGGATTTATCTGCAAGCTAGGAAACCCAGGCCGATACCAGGTAAAAGAAAAGAAAACAAAGGCCCCGAAACTAAAATGACATAAGAATGTCTCCTAAAACCCCCCAAACAAATAATTAAGAAAGGTTTTGTACTTTTACACAGAACATAGGATATCAATTATTAATGTAGTACTTTTTTATCTATTAATATGCAGTTCATACTGAGCTCTCGTGTTCCCATTTTCCGTTTGGGTGAATTAATATCAAATTAAAGATTGTAATTATGGTGTTACTATATATACATATTGCAGTTATTCTATCCTATATCTATATATTTAGATTGTTATTTTGGTGTTACTATGTATACTGGTGTTATTCTATCCTATATCTATATATTTAGATTGTTATTATGCTGTTACTATATATACTGGTGTTATTCTATACTATACCTATATATTTAGATTGTTATTTTGGTGTTACTATGTATACTGGTGTTATTCTATCCTATATCTATATATTTAGATTGTTATTATGCTGTTACTATATATACTGGTGTTATTCTATACTATATCCATATATTTAGATTGTTATTATGCTGTTACTATATATATACTGGTGTTATTCTATACTATATCTATATATTTAGATTGTTATTTTGGTGTTACTTTATATACTGCTGTTATTCTATACTATATCTGTATATTTAGATTGTTATTATGCTGTTACTATCAACAAATTATATACCTGTTGTTATAAACCATCTTTTAATGGCCTTTTACACAGCACCTTCACAACATTACTGCAAGGTAAAAAAAACTGTTTCAACCAATAAAAATCAACCAATAGAAATCAACCAATAGAAATCAACCAATAGAAATCTACTAATAGAAATCAACCAATAGAAATCAACCAATAGAAATCAACTAATAGAAATCAAATATCACTGTTCAAGACTAAATTCAGAGCAGAAGTCTCAATTTAACCTTGAGATCGTCATATTTTAAAAGTTTAAGGTCTTCTTTACAGTTTCATCCTTTGTGGGTAACCCTGTACAGGTAGACAAACAGAGAATCAGTTGAAACGCAACAATCTTCTTATAACATTTTAAACATATATATATAAATATATATATAATGGCGCTTTTCATCCCTATTTTTAAATAACAATTTTAGCTCTAAACTGTTGCTCTTAAAGTTGTCATTTGTTATGGATATACAACAAAAAAATTTTGTTGGTGGATTTTCCTCTTTAAATTCATTGGTGCATTTTCAAAATTAATATGTCCACATTTTTAAATTTAACCATCTATACATCTTCAATGGGTTCTTGTCAAGTAAATTGCCACTAAAAATCTAGGCTCAATCAGTTCAGCCGTTTGCATGACGAATTTATTTATTTATTTATCTTACCCACTCAGACAAGTATTTTAGATAGATGCAGCCGGAATTTATCAAACCCATTTTTGCATTTCATTTGCCACACCTTTGAAATATTTCTCTCGTCATTCAATTAATATGTGTTTCTTATTTTTATAGAGACACATTAAAGATAAATTTTGTGTTTACTTTGAGAATATTCTTCAGAAAATTATTATTTTCTAATTTTTTTTAGTTTAGCCTTTTTTAACAAATATCTAATTTTATTTGATGATGTACACTTTTCTGTACTGTACACTGTACAGGTGCCGGACAATGTGTACAAGGAACTGTACATACCAGTGTACGGGAATGAATCAAAATTTGACAGCTGTGCTATGTACATAGATCCTTCTAACCGCAGCGCTGGAACTACAGAATGCCAGGTATCTATCAATCTATCTATCTATCAATCTATCTATCTATCTATCTATCTATTTATCTATCTATTTATCTATCTAGGATGGATATGAGTTTGAGTTTGAGAATAAGAATGAATGGACGATTACAGCAGAGTGGGAACTAGTTTGCTCAAGGAAAAAAATAATTATTTCAGAAAGAAAGTTTTTTATTAGAAAAAAAAAATATTTGTTGAACATTTTTTTGTCTCAAACTCGCATAAAAAAAATATTAAATATAAAAAAGTAAAGATTTTTTTCCCCAGAGGTTTTCTTTCTCCTCTCCTCACAACTACATATTTCTGCGGAGTTATGGTCGGAGGTGTCATTTTTGGATCCCTTTCAGATAGGTAGGTTGATTTATTCCTTTCAGATAGGTAGGTTGATTTATTCCTTTCAGATAGGTAGGTTGATTTATTCCTTTCAGATAGGTAGGTTGATTTAATCCTTTCAGATTTATTCCTTTCAGATATGTAGGTTGATTTATTCCTTTCAGATAGGTAGGTTGATTTATTCCTTTCAGATAGGTAGGTTGATTTAATCCTTTCAGATAGGTAGGTTGATTTAGTCCTTTCAGATAGGTAGGTTGATTTATTCCTTTCAGATAGGTAGATTAAATTATTCCTTTCAGATAGGTAGGTTGAATTATTTCTTTCATATAGGTAGGTTGAATTATTCCTTTCAGATAGCTTGGTTGAATTATTTCTTTCAGATAGGTAGGTTGAATTATTTCTTTCATATAGGTAGGTTGAATTATTTCTTTCATATAGGTAGGTTGAATTATCCCTTTGAGATAGGTTGGTTGAATTATTTCTTTCAGATAGGTAGGTTGAATTATTTCTTTCATATAGGTAGGTTGAATTATCCCTTTCAGATAGGTAGGTTGAATTATCTCTTTCGGATAGGTAGGTTGATTTATTTCTTTCAGATAGGTAGGTTGAATGATTCCTTTTAGATAGGTAGGTTGAATTATTCCTTTCAGATAGGTAGGTAGAATTATTTCTTTCAGATAGGTAGATTGAATTATCTCTTTCAGATAGGTTGGTTGAATTATTCCTTTCAGATAGGTAGGTTGAATTATTTATTTCAGATATATCCCTGTTAATATTTCTATTCATCTTTCTGTTCATCTTTCTATTCAATTTTCTATTCATCTTTATATTCATCTTATTATTTATCTTTCTATTCCTCTTTATTGTTTGTCTTTCTATACATCTTTTTATTTAACTTTCTATTCATCTTTCTATTCATCTTTCTATTTAACTTTCTATTCTCTGATGTCTGTGTAATGTCCCATGTGATGTATATTGAGACTAATCAATTAATACCAATAGAACATATTTAGCTGTAGTCTGTAAATTTCCAATTTGTATTTTTTTTGTTGGGTGAGTAAAAGATTTGGTTAA